GGACACCAGGAGCAAGAGAGGAGACCTTGTGGAGACGGGCAGGGCTCCGCGGCAGTGAGGCCCAGTAACTTTGCCCCAAGTGCTGGGATTGTCCCTGTAGCTTTGATAGCCATAATTTAGCTCAGTACCTTTCCTAACATTTTTTACTTTTCATTGATCTTTTTGTGTTTTAGTTGCATCATAAGTGAGTTGGGAATGTAATTCAGATCAGGCTCCAAGACTCCACAGAACCAGAAACATGCATTCACTTAAAGAGGGAAGGTGAAGAAGAGTTGAGAATTGTTGGTATTCCCAAGACTAAGGGCTGAGTGGGTGCCAGGAAGTTAGAGGCCTTTCTGGTGTTTTAGACTTAACCCTCTGGTTAACACCTTGGCCAGGCCTGATTAATCACAGAGAGCCAAAGTAGTCTATGTTCTAATTCCTGGAGTACGGGTATAGAGGGTTTACTGGGTCTGAAAGGGAGACCCATCTAGGAGCCAGAAGGTGCTTTACTTTTTTTTTTTTTTTTTTTTTTAATAAAAATGTTTCTAGTACTTTTATAATTTTACTGAGAACTGTACTATAATGTTGCCACCTTTAATCATGGAGAATGACAACAGATGGAATTTTCGTTTTGAAGTTCTAACAGCATAGAGACTTCTGGATCATGTTTATCATTTCAGTAGTATTCCCATACATGGCCTCCCTCTGAGTAACATGGCTAGAAAAGGAGGGCCCACCAAAAAAAAATTTTTTTTTTAAAGAAATAGGGAAAGTAATTTTTCTGAAAGTGGAGCATACTAATTAAGTTTGGATCATTGAGTTAGGCTACCTGGGTTTGGGTCTTTGCTGCTTTATTTACTAGCCTTGAGCAGGTTACTTAAGTATTTCTGTACTTTGTCTTCCCATCTATAAAAGGAGTTAGTAACAGAGTTGTTTTGAGGATTAAGGGAGTTAATACAAACAAAGCTCTTAAGGCAGAACTTGTCCTGAATTACCTTCTGAGTTTCAGGTTATCAATCTTTCAGGATAGAGATTTGCCAGAAATGTATTAGGGATCACTGAAACCAGAAAGGACACTGATCTCAGTAAATAAATAGTGCTTCTCCAGATAACCTCCTAAATTATTTCTTAAAAATATAATCCCTCCTGTCTTAGTTTGTTGTTGTGTTGCCAATAGAAATACCTGAGACAATGATTTATAAAGACTGGTTTCTTCAGCTTATGGTCTGGAGGGCCAGGGACCAAATTCTGATGAGGCCACAACATGGTGGATGGCACGACCTGGAGCAGAACGACTCTCCGTAAGTTTGTGCTTGTCCCGGCCTCATTCCCTCTGCTTATGAATCCACCAGAATTCAGTCACAGGGGCCGTGACCTAGTCACCAGTCACACCCAAACTGCCAACCCTGGGACACCAGGAAGAAATGAAGTTTTCACTTAACAGCTTTGTAATGCAACCAAGTCCCAGCACATGAATTTTGAGGGGACATTCTAAACTATAGCACTCCCCTAAAAAAAAATTATTGCCATCCTTACATGTTTGGGGTTTGGGCCTCATCTGTTGCATTCTGTTATAATTTACATATATTTTATACACGTGTGTGCATATGTATATATAATTTATATAATTTTATAATTTACATAATTTATTATTTAATTTTTTTTTTAGTACATGCTTGGGGAAGAAATCTAGTAAGGAAAAAAGTCATTATTAAATGCTATAAATGCAATGAAATTGTTTTTAATATCATGCAAGCCAAATAAATACTGTGACTGTGGTTTAAGAGGGAAATGGGGACCAGCAGATGGCACTATGGTTACATTGCTGAATTCCCCTGTAGTCTACTGTGGTTCGAGTCCTGAACCTACAGCTTAAAACTCTTGCTGGGTACATGCATGTGTGCCCAAGAACCCAAGAGGAGAATTAAGGAGAAGGGATTGCAGCATGGCCATTCCCTGGGGGGTGATTTCTTGCTCTCTGTCTCCCTGTCTCTCTTTATCACTCCAGTGAGCTCATGCTCCCTAGAGCAAAAGTCTCTTAAAAAAAAAGGAAAGGGAAATAAAATAATTGTGCCTTCTGAATGAATTGCAGATAGTAGGTTCATAAAGCAGCTTCATCTGTCAACCTTATTAATAGCAAAATACCATAGGTCAAAATTTCTATGGCGTTTATTTTTCTGAAGATATTCCCCCACACCCACCCCATACACAGTTATCAAACTAATAACAGTAGAGTTTATCTGAGAATCATATGTGACTTATTTCTAAATTTTTCCATGTTTTTCCTCAGGTTTCCAACTATAGCATAATAATGAAATCACATAGATTTTATTTTTTTTAATTTTAAGCAAGTTTTTTATCTGTCTTAAAAATGGGAAACTTTGATATTTTATAGGTTCTAAAACAATATATTATCTCATTTTAATTTAAGTATGTATATTAGCATACTTAAATAAAACTTGTTTGGGAGAGTCAGTACCAAGAATGTTAATAATAGTCATCTGTTTTTGTCTTTTGAGGTAGTTTTAATTCTTTTTAATAACTATCTATATATTTTCAGACTTGTCTGCAGTGAATTTTGTCATTAAAAAAATAAGGGAATTTTTTTCCCACTTTATAGATGTGAAAAGCCTCTAATGAGACTGCATGTCACTTCCGAAGGTACCATAGAAGGAAATGGTCAAGGTCTGCTACAGGTAGGTGAGTCTCAGTAGGCGTGTGTGCATGTGTGCGTGTGTGTAGAGAGCTTTCTCTCGTCAAGCTCTGACAGCAAAGGAAATTTGAAAAGCTGTTTGTTTGTCTGCTAAACTGATTGAATGCAAAGAAGCATGATAGCTGGATGGAGAAAAACACCAAACAGATCACTCTGACAGCCTTGGTAATGCTGCTATTTGCCAGCGTATGCTCTCTGTCTCTTACACGTGCCTCTTTAAAAGCCTTTGACAGAAGATCTCAAGATCTGGACAACATCAGTCCTTTCGGTTCAGACATTGATTACAGGTTGACAGTGGAGGAAGTTCCCATGATATAGTCTTGACAAGCTGTCACCCAGCAGATTTGTTCTTTTTCTTGAAAGGCTCTTGCTCTGACTTAAGTGATGGCCAACTTAAGATGTTTTTCTGCCACCAATAGTCTTGTTTAGGTCTAAGAGGCAGACATCTAAAACTGATGACTAAGAAAGGCCTCTCTCCGCGGCACGTGAGCTAATTAACGTCTCTTCCCTGTTAAAGAGCACGTAACTCTGTTCATTGATGGCTCTTTAGTATTCATTTGTTACTGCCTTTATTTCTAAAATGTTTTTGGAAAAGGGGAAAACAAAACACCCCATCTATCTATCTAGCTTTAAAATCTTATAACATCCAAGTTGAGCACAATCTTCCCTTTGATTTACAGTGATTTTTTTATTTTAATTCACTAATCTGAGACAAAAGAGCATCATACACTTAGTATTCGTTGAAGGAATCTTATACATTATCTCATTTATACTGAGTATAGCATTTTTGTTCTTAGAGCCTTACTTGACACTTTATTGGGTCAGAAGATAGCGCATTGTCTGAAAATGGACTGATTTATTTGAATAACTTAATGCTTATTGTAAAATGACTAGACTGATTCACGTGGGGCTTGTTATTATATACATATGTTTCCAAGTGACTAATGGAACTGAGGTTGTTTTTAAAATTTAGACATATTTGTAATTAAAATATTTATAGAGGCAAGCCATGTTTTATTTTAAATCATCTTCTCGCAATGATTATTTGAGTTTGTAAACAATTTTGGGGATAAGTGAATTAATATTTGTTTTGTACTTTCAAAAAATTAACTTATATTTAATCATATACTTGTTCATGTTAAAAAGAATAATTTTAAAAGATGCTTTAAATGGTTTCAAATGAGTATAATTTTTTTCTTTCATTTTCCCCTTTTGCTGAAGTTCTTTTTTTTACTTTAAAGTCATAGATAAACTGAGGGAGTCTTAATATATATGAAGTAAACAAAGCTACTGATAGTTAGCACCCAGGAATGCTGGCTGACCTTTCATTACAGAGCAATTCAATGAGGGATTATTTAGCAGCAGTCAAGGTTGAGATTCTTCCCACTTCCCTGCAAATTATTATAGACAAAATGTGAGACTGTGGTGGATCACAGGAATACCACGACGACTCTGACACTATTAATTGTTCTCCCTGGCAGTGCTATGTCTCCAGGAGATCAGGGAGTATTGTGTTGCAGTGCTCCAAAGCATATAAATTACGTTATGCTGAATGGCACCCACCACAAAACTCTCGGAGTGTTATCATTTCTCTCTTTTCATCAGGTTTTAATTCAGAAACTGAGTAATCTGAACAAGTAGTTTTTTTTTTTTTTTTTAAAAAAAGGGACTTGGAAAATGACTACCTAAAAATAAACACTCACATGCTTGTTTTCATGTACTTGAACACATTTCTCACCTGTCATAAAGAGCCTTTTATGAAGAACTTTTCTAAGTAGTAGAAAATTTGGTTTTCTAAAAGGTCCCTGTTCTCAGAGGCATATTGAGTTTAGTGTGTTTTTTTCTTTAAAAAATTATTTTTTATTTTAACTTTATTTTTTGTTTGTTTATTTTAATTTGACCAGAGAGAGAGAGAGAGAGAGAGAGAGAGAGAGAGAAAGTGAGAAAGCAAGCCACCAGGTCTGGGACTCAAATTTTGTTGGCCACATGGAATTCCAATGTCCTTAACCACCATGCCACCTGCCAACCCCGAGTTCAGTGCATTTATTTCTATGCATGCCTTTCAGATAATAATGTTGACCTTTTATCCAAAGAGTGAACAATAACACCCACATTGAATGCATTTTGTGGCCATTACCTTATAGTATATAGATTGGATTGATCTTACCTTTCTACTTTAGTTATGAACTGTATTCAGAATTAGTTAGACTGGTCTCAGACGTCTTCTGTTTCACAGTTATGTTTGTGGTGCCCTTATACTTCTAGGTACTTGCTCAGTCTCTGAGTTCTCAACACCATGCATTCCAGTTCTTTACCAGGTCTTGTCACTTTCTTCTCCTTTGCCACTGCCTTGTTTGAGGCCCTAGGAGTGTATGTTGGAACTATGCAGTAGTCTCCTAACCCACCTCTTTGCTTTTCTTAATTTTACACTTTTCTAGTTAATTCTTTAAACTCTAGCCCGAATTATCTTCCTAAAATACACCTGTTTCCTCAGCCTGCATGTCCTCGAACTCAGGATTGAATGCTACATCTTCTTATAAAGCTCCCCTGTCCTCCTGTGCTCCAGTTTTAATTAATTGTATTGTTTGGGAAATGTCAAGTACACACTAATTGGTTCTTCAATAATCATCATATCATTTTGCTTATGTGTTTGATTCCCATCTAAATTGCAAATGCTTTGAGGCCAGAAACCAACACATCTTACCCATCTTTGTATCCCATGGTTCTAGCTCAATGCTCAGTAAATAGTGATTCAATCAATCCAAGCCATGAATCACCTAGTGCTTATTAAAGACCTTATATGCACTAGGTAACTCATTTAATCAGCAGACAGGTTTCACCAGAATTATTTCCATATAAGCTAAGAAGCTACTTCTCTCTCTCTCTTTTTTTAAGCAGTGATTTTAGTACCCTATAGTACAAGCACATATATAATTCTCTTTGATGACTTATTTCACAAACTTGCCAGTAGTATATTCCATGGTGTCTAAGTTGTTCTTTGGCAAAAGATAACTACTTTGCCTTCTATTAATTTTGGGCTTTTCACATACTTTTACATTTCTAAAGATTCATATTCTTGTTTTCCTCTTTTGTAAAACAGGCTTTAGGTAATGATTTAGTATCAGTTACTTTAGAAAACATGAGTAAATTTTAAGAAGTGCCATATTTTAGAGTAGTTTGACATTCTAGAAGCCTTCCACAGTACTTTATTTTACTGCATGTGTGCCTGTGCATGTGCACAGTTGTGTGTAAGTTTGTAGTCTTAACTCCTCATTTAGAAATGGACACCATTTCTTGCATCTTGCCCTGTAGGAGCCAGCATAGTGTTGGACACATTGGAGTGCCGAGTAAGCTTGAGACAGACTGCAGAATGCCAGCAGGTTGTGTCTGCTTTCTGCTGAGGACTGTCTAACTCTTCCTTACAGTAGGAGATGGGAGAGCCCACCATCGTACTCCACACGAAACTTTAGCATAGTTCCAAACTAAATTGGAAGCATTTAGTTGATTCTTTATCGTTATACTGGGTTTTCTTTCTCTCTTCTTGTTTTTACTTTAGATATATTTAAAAAAATAATAATTTTTAATGTTTATGTGGTTTGGGTTGAATTTAGAAGAACCTTTATTCTTCTACAGAAGGAACTGATTGCCTAAAAATTACCTTAACTTTTCAGTTCTTTAGGTTGTTTGTCATCTTATATAAAAATGGTATAATTATATTAAAGTAATGTAAACTACATAAAGGGAAACTGATAGTGAATGTGGGGAAATGAGCTTGAAACCTATGCAGAGAGAGACTTTACTTAATTTGTGGTCCTTGGGGCATATGTAAGATTTATAAACCAGAGTCATGGAACATTTTACCTAAAAGCTCTGTTTTTCTAAGTTTCTTCTACAGTTTTGAGATTCAAAGAAATATGCAGAGATGTTAACTGCAGCAAGTTGGAGAAAGAGTGCAGGCAACCAGTAATCTGTCCTCCTGGGGCGGTTTGATTTTCATTGAAAAGGAAAAGATGAGGTCTTTGAGGGGTGTGTGGTCCTTTATCATGTATTAGGTATTTTAGCATCCTTTAACATGCCATATTTTCCCAAATAGGTGGATTTTGCAAATCGTTTTGTTGGAGGTGGTGTAACCAGTGCAGGACTTGTGCAAGAAGAAATCCGCTTTTTAATCAATCCTGAGTTGATTGTTTCACGGCTCTTCACTGAGGTGCTGGATCACAATGAATGTCTTATTATCACAGGTTAGTTTGGGGAAGTCTGGAGGATGGGGTAGTTTCCCCATCTATTCATATCTGTCATGAAGTCTAGAAGCCACTCAAGTATAGTTTCTCTTCCGTGAGCATTATAGCCTATATTTTTATTCATTAATTTATACCCGATTTTTTTTCCCTTTTGAGAGAGAAGGGGGAAGAAAGAGAGACAGGTATTTCTAATAGGGTCTCACCTTGTTGCAGTCCACCTGTCCCAGCTTCATAATTAGCCAGGATTACAAGTGCATGCAACTGGCCTGGCTGTGTTCAGGTTGGCCTGGAACTGAACGCAGGCCTCTAGCCTCCCAAGCAGTGGCACTACCTGTATTGCCATGGCTGGGTCTATACTTGATTTTTGAAATTATCAGAGTTTTATTTTCCTAATCTTAAGTAAGACATTTTATCCCCACACCTTTTTTCCTCACATCGTTTTCTAAGGAACAGAGATAAAAATATTCAGTTACCCTCCAATTTTAAATCTTATGACATAATATTGCCATAATAATTCTCTTAAAAAGAAGATGGTGTGGGGCCAACAGGAGGCATGGTGGATCAGGTGCTGGACTCCCACATGGCTGACTGTGGTTCAAGGCTCAGGCTCAGTGGCTTGAAACACACTGTGTGCATGTACATGTGTGCCCAAAATCTCAAGAGGAGAATGGAGGAGGAGGAATTGTGGTATGGCCATCCTGCCTGAGGGGTGGGTTTTCACTTTCCCTCTCTGTTGTCTCTCCTCTCTCCTCTGTCACTCTCCAGCTAGTGTACTGCCCTATGACAAAAACCAGAAACACACACACAAAAGATGGTATATACTTTTGAGTATGTATCCATTGTTATTCTTTCATTATATTTTTAAAGTGATTTGTTCAATTAAATATCAGTCAGTATTTTTTTAGTGATTCATTATACTTCGGTATGGAGACCACGTAAATACAAAAGGCAGTTACAGCATCTGGAGAGAGCACAGCAGTGAGCTTTAGATAGAAGAGAAGTAAATGAGTAATCCTATGTTTACCTTTAATTTCTAATCCTAAAAGAAAAAGTGTGCTTACTGCAGTGTCTCTCTTTCATTTCATTAAGTTAGCAGGTGAGAAGGACAGAGGGAAATTTAGTCAGGTCTAGAGATTATATTTTTTTCTAAGATTTTTTTTGTTTTTATTTTTTAGTCTGAGCTATCATTGTGTCACAGTATTCTTTTGTGAGTAAGCTACTAATATAAAAAATTAACAGCAGGCAGCATGGTAGTTAACATCCTGAATGTCCACGTGGCTGACCACAGTTCAAACTCCAGACCTGATGGTTTGAAAATTATGCCAGGCACATGTACAAAATCCCAAGAGAATGAAAGAGAAGGGATTACAGCATGGCTGTCCCCCCTGGGGAGCTAATTTCTCACTTTCCCTCTGTCTGTCTGTCTCCAGTACACATGCCCTATGGCAAAAACCTAAAAAAGAAAACAAACAATTACTTCATAGCTCTTAAGAAGCTCTTAATTAGCTACCTTATTTAAATTGAGCTGTTTTATTTGAGTGCATGAAAGAACATCCCTACCATAAGTTGCTGGTACTTATTTTCCCCCTGAAAAAGTGAATTTCTCTTTATTTTTAGTTGCTAGAGGATCTGCGCACTCACTGGGGAGAGACAGTCAAAGAAAGAGAGAAAGAAAGAAAGAAATCACCTGCCCTCCTCCCATCACAATCTCTTCTCTTTTCTCTTCTTGGAATTCTGGGCATGCACATGCACACACACACTGTATACTGTTATTCCCAAAGATTACAATGGGAGAAAAGCCATCCTCTGTGAATGATCAGATGTGTACTCCACTAAGTTAACTCCAAAGAGGCCCATAACAAAACTAAAACTCCAGCGTATAATCATGAAGCAACCTTGAGGAGAGTATCTAAATGTTGTTTATGTGTCTCTCTCAGAATTCTCTGTCTTTTTTATCTTTCAGCAGTTTGATTACGATGTGTCCAGGTTTGAATATCTTTGACTTTGTCCTGCTTGGAGTTCATTGAGCTTCTTGAATGTTTAGCTTAGTTTTTCCTCATCAAACTGGGTAAATTGGAGCTGGCCCCATAGCACAGTGGTTAAGCATTATGCAGAGGGAACTAGATTGCACGTGGCCAATCACAGTTCAAATCCTAGCTCCTGCTACTTTAAAAAACACAATGAGTACATACACATGTATGCCCAAAACCCTGATGTGATTGAGAAATGGAGGGAAAGGATTGCAATGTGTTCACACCCGCATTGGAAGAGTTTTCTTTCTCTCTCTTTCTCTCTGGTAAGCACACATGCCCTTTGGCAATAAAAATGTTTTAATAAGTTGGGGTTAGATAGTAAGTAGCTTAGTGGTAAAACATGACACACTGTGAAGCAGTCCCACATGGGAAGGCTCCTGGTTCAAGGCAGGAAACGTTCCTGAGTAAGCTGGGCACATATTGCCAAGGCCTCTGGGCTGGCTGAAGGCTGAGGTAGAGCGTGGCATCGAGATACTTTAGGGGGCATGGTTTCTCTCTCTTATTCACTTGTAGGAGAAATAAATTAACTTTTTTAAATTCAGGGGAAAGTTTTGCTTGTTTCTTCAAATAAGTTTTCTGTCCCTTTCTCTCCTCTCCTCTTGGGACCCCCAAGCTATGTATATGCTGCTGTACCTGATGGTATCCTTATGGTCTCTGTAGCTTTGTTCATTTTTCTTCATTCTTTATTCTTTCTGCTTCTCAGATGGCATAGTCTTGATTGACCTGTCTTCAAGCTCACTGATTTTCTGCCCACTCAATCTGCTTTTGAATCCCTCTAGTGAATTATTGATTTTACTTATTGTACATTTCAATTACAGGATTTCTATTTTGTTCTTTTTTAAAATTTCCCTTTATTAATGTTTTCTGTTTGAAAGATATCATTCTCATACTTTTCTTTAGTTTTTTAAACAGTTTCCATTTTTCTTTGAACATATTTTAAATAGTTGAAGTATTCATTTATGTCTGACTTCAGGGACAGTTACTACAATTGCTTTCTTATATCTCATTATTTTTGGTTGAAAACTGAATATTATAAATAATATAATGTAGTAAAGTCAGATTTTCCCTTCTCATCAGTTTGTTGTTGCTGTTTGTTTAACGACTCTCCTAAACTAATTCTGTAGAGTCCATATTCTTCCTCACATGTGGCTGCTAATGTGTTCGTCCAGTTAGATCAGTGGTCAGCCAGTGATTACACAGATTTTCTTTAATACTGCAGCCAGTAAGTTTCCCAGTTGTTGCTGGAGGGCTGTATGGATCTTGGAGCTCACCCTCAACACTCCAGAGTGCTGTTGGTGACGTAACTTACTTTTTTACTTCCTGCTTGCAGAGTCTCAAGGTCAGGCAGAGGGGAGGGCTAAGGCCCTTCTCAGGTTTTTCTTGAGTGTTCACATAGCCATTGCCGTTTGTGGCCTGCTGAGTTCAGAAGAATAAATTAGAACTTTTCTTTTTTTTTTGGAGAGGTTTTCACTATAGGGCACGTGCGCCCACCAGACAGACAGAGATAGACAGAAAGCAAGAAATCACTCCCCAGGGGGGATGACCATGCCACAATCCCTTCTCCTCCATTCTCCTCTCAGGATCTTGAGCACACATGCACACACGCCTGGTGTGAGTTTTAAGCCACTGGGTCCGGGACGCGAACCGCGGTCAACTACTTGGGAGTCCAGCAACATAGCCATTACACTAACTGCTGGTCCCAAATTAGAACTTTTCTAATCCCAGGGCCAGCAGGTGACATGGTGATTAAGACACTGGACACTTCCACATGGCTGGCCACGATTTGAGTCCTGGACCTGATAGCTTGCTTTCTCACTTTGCTTCTGTCTGTCTTTCTCTGTTCTAATGAAAATAAATGAATGAATAGACAAAATTGAATATTTTTTTAAAAATAAGAAAGAACTTGGGGGCCAGCAGGTGGCGTGGTGATTAAAGATGCTAGATTCCCACATGGCCAACAGCGGTTTGAGTCCTATATATATAAGAAAGAACTTTTCTAATTCCTTTATTGACATCTTATTCCTTAACTTGTCCTTTGAAACTTTTTGGTTAGCCTATTGTTTTGTCCCATTCTTAGCCAATACCTCAGGCAGCTTCCATGTTAAACAATTAACTGTAATTATTTTCATCAAACACCCTGGAGACTAGGTTTGTCATAGTGGACGAGCTCCAGGCCTGGTCACATAAAGACAAGCGACATCTTCCAAACAGGTTAAATAATGACATTGCTCTGAGAATGGGATCGAAAGAGTTTCAGCCTTCTGTCCCCACTGCTGGCTGTCAGGCTGCTGATTTTCACTGTGATTACAGGCAGTTTTTTCAGGCTGTTGTGGCACTTAAGACGAGTGGCATGAGAATGGGACAGATTAAAACATTAAAAGCCCATTCACAAAGCTTGCTGCTTTGTTTTTTTAAACCAGGATTTAGCTGATTTTTGTTAAATAATCCCTACCTGAATCGTTGTAAGCCTTTAGTTAATTTCTCTAGTCCATTCTCCCAGTATTCTCATAGCTTTGCGAAGGAGAGAATTTTCTGAGATTTTTACTCTACCATTTTTACTTATGTCCCATCTTTTGTAAATGCCTGTTTGTAAAAGGGCTTTCAGTGAGTTATTTCAACCATTTAGAATATCCTGTATTAATTCTTATCCCTGTAATTTTGACAAAAATGAAAATTGTTAATTGTCTGAGTTTATATAGGAAATTAAGATTGGGATCTCAGCAAAGAAATTTCTTCTAGGATAGAGCCTCAATCAACCATTTGAAGTTAATGGCTAGAAGTATTCCCTGTGGAATTATGTGATTCCAAATTATACTAAAATTGTAAGATAAATAATTTTGTTCTCAACATCTCTTCAGCTCATATATTGGTCATCTGTTGGTTACCATGTATGTAAATAGGAAAAATGGGGGGTGGGCAAAAAATGGCAGGATAAGATACTAAAATTAACTGGTATAAATCCCCGCT